ACCTTTGCAGTGTAAGGACGCAGCATTTGTCCCATTAGGAGGGTGAAACAAGACACTATCTTAGACACAGATATTGAGCACATCCAGACAACAAACTTGCTAGTGCCTTGATCTTAGATATTCCATCTTTAAGAACTATGAGAAAATACATTTCTATCATTTGTAAATGATCCAGTCTGCAGTCTTTTGTTATAGCAACAGGAATAGACAAAGAGAACTACCAACTGGTGATTTTATCAAATCTTCAAATGGTCTCTTAAGAAAGCCCAGGACAAGCTGGGCATTGGTGGCACATGCCTTTAGTCCCAGCACTCCGGAGGCAGAGGCAGGAGAATCTCTGTGAGTTCAAGGCCAGCCTGGTCTACAGAGCTAGTTTCAGGACAGGCTCCAAAAAAATACAGAGAAACCCTCAAAAACCAACCAAACGAACAAACAAGACCAGGACATTAGCTCTTCATTTTTCTCATGAGTAAAATCACTTGCCTAAAGCCATGTGTCCATGCTAGAACTAGAGCTTCAGCCCCTGATTCATGTCTGAACATTGTGCTGCCCATAAGAAGGTTAGAGCCAGCATGGAGTCATCCTTGCTTCCACGGGAGGGCACGGAGCTTAGAAGTCTGCAGCTCCTCCTCCCAGGAATGAGACTCCACACAAAGCAGAAACTCGGTGCACAATGGTAGAGACAGATGATTAATTGAGGTGAAGGCTGAAGAAACAAGTGGTCCCAGGTCTTGAGCTTGGCCTGGACTCTCAGGTTCTGCCTCTGCCAACTTGTGCCACAGAGATGAACTGACAGTGACATCACCTGCACTGAGTCTTTGTGTCAGGAGGTAGTCATGGCAACTCACTTGCTTCCTCAGCTGATGAGTAGACAATTAGGTAGAATGGAAGAACCAAGTTAATTGCCTGTCATCTTTTTTCTGCTCCCTGTGTATTGATTCAAATTAAGTCTTTCCAGTCATCTAATGTCAGCAGATACAGAATGAAGAGCACAGACCTGGGAGCCAGGATCTCCAGCAAATAACTATTTGTAAATGATACTCTTAACCTCTCTGCCTCTCTGTGTGTTTCTGACCCCAGCATTCACAAAAACAAATCTCTTTGACTGACCTCCTTTAATTTCTCATCCAACATCTCTAAGCTGCCTAATAACCATTTCTGATATCAAGTCCATTCACCTAGGCATCCCCTCTTCTTCAGAGTGAAGATAAAGGAAAGCAGACTAAAGCCCGTATTTGTTGAAGCCCAGGGTAGCACAGAGAGAACAGGTACATAAACTAGTGGTGGATACTCCATGGTGTGTGTAGCACACATGGGGGTCTAGGTTCCAAGTTCTAGATGTGTTATGTGACAAGTGTTATCATAAGCTCGGCTACCACCCGATCCAGCGTTACAAGAGATCTTGAGAAATGATGGATGGAAACATCCCATCCTTACAGTATCATTTCTATAGTCAGACATAATTATTTATGATTGCTTTCATAATCTTTGCTTGTTCTGATTTTTAGTGTTTGGGGGATTACTTTTCGACATTTTAAAGTCATCTCAACTCTAATAGTATTTGTTCAGAAAGTCATCTCAAAACTCAATTTGGAGCTACTAAACACATAGAATCCTGTGTTTTAAAAATAAACATCAAGCAGGTAAGCATTGTGCACATAAATCACCTCCTTACTAGACGATAGGCGTCTTGAGGAGGGCAGGGTAATGACTATGTCTTCCTGGACAGTGCTTCTCAGTGCTCAGTACAGTGCCTGATTCAAGAAGGTGATAAACTTGTATTTAGTGAATAAGTGGTTGATTTAAGAAAATGAATATGAAGTATTCAAGGCTGATGCTCTAGAAGAGGGAAATGTTTGCTTATGGCCATGAGTTGAGTATTGATTGGAATATATTAAGATCTCTGTACTATTTGCAGTTTACTCCAACAGTGTAGCAAAGTTTGATATTTCTTTGGGTTCTGGAAGAGGCTTCCCCAGGAACTAAGCCCTGATTTATTCAGCCCAGCATTTCCTCTGAGACTTGTGGTCATGTTGGTAATGAAAAGAATGAGCCTAAGATCGAAGGTGCTGCCTCATGGTGGGAACTGGGGAGGAAGAAAGGGGTGACATGAGGGGCTTAGGATGAACAGCAATGAGGACTTTGGAGACATGTTTGAGAGTTCTTTTGGAAGTTCTTCCTGAACCAGACCAAAACATTCTGGGAAGGGGATATGTGCAGACTAATAGACACTTAAACAGTTTAATGGCAGAAGTGATGGTGTAACTTAACATTATATCTATATGGAGCTAAAAGTTTTTACAAGTGGGGGAATATGGCAAAGTGGAAAGAACAAGGAGCTGGAATTCAGTACAACTGGCTCTCATTAACCAACTGAGGGCCACAGTTCTTAGGCTTGGTTCTCTTATGTAAACGAAGGAGAATGTACAGCAAATCACTCTCTAGAGACTGGATTTCCTACTTTACTGCTTAAGACTTGAACATGGCAGGAGAATGAGGCCAGTATCCCAGGCTGGATTCCAGGAAGTTTAGATACTTGGGTAAGTGCTCTCGGCCCTGACAGAAGCTTATAGTCTACCCAGGACACAGTTTATATGCACAGTGCTCACCTGCTTGTTGTCTATAAAAAGTAGGATTCATAGTGTTTAGTTGCCCCAAATTCAACTTTGAGATGGCTTCGTGGACAAATACTGTCAGAGTTGAGACATCATTAAAAAAAAAAAAAGTTATCTGGATGTAGTGGATGATTGGTGGTGTGGGGATAGACTTAGAATCTCCACCACCCCTCCTCCTTGGCAGGAAGCCATGACCCAGCATGGAAATCAGATGTATGCACATTTAAATTCCCTGATACTTACTGACAGTGTTTGACCCATAGGCACGTATTTAACCTCACTCTGTCTCAGTGTCTTCCTCTGGTTATTGTAAGGGTTGGTTACTTGGTACCAAGAAAAGATACAAAGGGGCTGGAGAGATGGCTCAGTGATTGAGAGCACTTGCCCCTCTTCCAGAGGAGCTGGGTTCAGTTCCTGGTTCCAACATGGCAGCTCCAGTTCCAGATGATCCAAGGACCTCTTCTGACCTCTGCAGACACCAGGCATACACATGGTACGCATACATACATGCAGGCAAAATTCTCATATGCATAAAATAAAAATGGAATAGAAATATTTGCTATCATTCTTCCTCACAAAGGGATTGATACCAAAGCTTATATTTCTGCCCTTAGATTCTGGTTGTTTTTACATAGAATTCTATAATATTTTACCCCACAGGCTCATCTGTTTTTATTTGTTTTGAATGGGGAAAATTTAGAAATCATAAACTTCTACTTTTGAGGATTTAAGTGTCCAGGTCTGACTCAGCTTTGCTTGTAACAAAAACCCATCATAGTTTATGGCACTAAATCGAAGAGGCAGTGGGCAGAGAGGATTTGGGTTTTCACACCATGTTACAATACCAATTATTACAGATAATGACACTGCTAAGTGCTGGAACCAAAGCATTCAGAACTATCAGACAACCAGCTCAGGGCTAGACAAATAAGGATGGGGTGAGTGAGGCCTTGGGTTCCTTGTGAAGTTCTTGGGCCCCTTTTAAGTTTAAACAGTATGCCAGTCACTTTCTGCCATGCTATATACTAATGTTCTTAAATGGGAAATTTATTGAAGTTCAGGCTGACAGCATTTCATAAATTATCCACAAATTTGATCTTGATTCTAAAATCAATAAAAAGGAATAGCTTCTGTAGGTGAGAAGGTAAACGATGCGTAGGTTATAGCTTCTTCTAAATACAATTTTGAATGACATTTACAGATTATTTCTGATGGTTTTTTTCCCTCTGGAGTCACCACACCCAGTTTTTGTTATGCTCTGAACACAGTCGTTACAATGGTGATGTTTAGGATCTGACTAGGATTTTATAAAGATAATCATGTGATGACTTGGAGTGGCCCTCCCCCAATACCATCCATTCTGAGGCCCATTCTAAGTCAAAGCAAGTCACTATCACCCAAAAACTTATTTATGTCTTTGAGGACAGCTGCTGCCTCAGTCACTGTTCTCTATTCAGAACCTGGGAGGCAACTAGCACTTTCCAAACGGTTGGTGATATCAATGCCTGAAAGTTTTGGGCCTTGGTTAAGCAGATGGAAATTCCTGGCTAGGAAAACCTTCTAATGATAGCATATGGGAGGCACTTTCTACACCACAAAGTTCAGCCATGCCACTGCAGAGGAAACTGTCTTGTCTTGAATGATTGTCATGAGAAAGTCAGGGAATAAAGGTGAGGATGCTCCCTCTCCCCCGCCCCCCCCCCCACGCACAACCAGTAAAGGCAGTTTACACAACATGTAAAGGCAGTAAGGGTAGAAACAAAACCCAAGTCCCAATGTGGGACAGTATCTGCTCTGGGGTGAGCAGACCCTCACCGAATGCTGCCGGTATTGTCCCACAGAAAGGTATAAACATTGGCCTTGCCTTTCGTGGTGCAGGATAGAGTGAAGGAAAACAAGCAAATGGCCCCATGGATGCTCAAGGTTAACTGCGTTGACAGTTAATTACAGGTCTGAAAGAAGAGAAACCGACTGTCTACAAGACAAGCTTCCTGGCTGTGATTTCAAGGACCCCTGGCAGGGCGAGACTGCTGAGACCTGTTCATTTTTCTTTCACTCCAATGCATCATGTCTCCAATGACAATTCTCTGTGTGTGTCCCGTACGATTTTTTTTTTTTTAAATCAACTTTTCTGAGTTACTGCCTAGCACTTAGCAATTTGAAGACTGGCAGAATGAAGTCAGATGTAAGCTGGGGAGGTAGACCCTTCTATTGTGGAGTAAACAGATGGTTATTCCTAACCAGGACTGTTACTACTTCATGAATCTTCATAACACACATGCCAGAACAGAGTGCAGTCATACCACGCAGATCCTGGGGAGCAGGGGTCCAAACTGCCCCCAGCATCTTGAAGTGGGTAAAGGGGGTGTGACCTCCTCCCCTCCCTCAGCAGGACAGGATCTTGAGGAAGGCTTTGCGGAACTCCACGTTGAAGGTGGTGTAGATCACAGGGTTAAGGGCACTGTTCACATAGCCTAGCCAAGTTGTGGCTCTGTAAAGCTCTGGGGACACATGGCATGCCTGACAGTGAGTGTTAAGAACGTGAGTCAGGAAGAAAGGCAGCCAGCAGACAATGAAGGCTCCTAGGTTGCAAAGAAAGAGAATGTGGGTAAGGAGTCTGCTACCACTTTCCTTACACATGAAAACATCCTATACTGGGCCCCATACTGGGAGTTTTCCATGCCATTTACTTTCTGTTTGCTTTGCTTGGCTTCCCTTCATTGATTTGCCTTTTCTTTCATTAATGTTATGTGGCATCTGTGATTTACCAAACTTTAATTAATTAGATGTTAGAATTTAGTTTTTTAACTATAAAATTGAAAATTGGCCATATACATACTGGAAAATTAGATAAATACAGAACACAGAAAAGAACCACACATTACTCAAGGACAATCACTTTTGACATCTTGAATTTATTTTGTTATGTTTTCTTACTTAAAGTGACCTTGGTATCATATCATATGACAGTAGAGTTTTGCCTTCCTATTTTCTCACTTATATTTTAAAATAAGTAAATATTTATTAAATACCCAGTGTGTGCCAGATGCTTTTGTTGACTCATTATTGCTTGACCGATCCATTTTCATTCCTTATGATAACCCAAATTAAGTGGCTTCATAAATTTCATGTAGGTCTTTTGAGTTTTCGTAAGGGTTAATATTCATATAGAAACCTTCTTAGTTGTATTATAGAGATTGTATAATTGAATTTTCAATGTTCTTTAAATGTGGCTATGATGAACCCCACTGCAGCACCCAGCGCTAGCTTCAACTAACCGTTTAATCCAACCCAGATCAGACTCACACTTACCAAGCACGATGGCCACCATCTGGGTGGCCTTCTTCTCTCGAAGTGGTACTCCCCTAGGCTGCAGGGACCCCAGCTTCAGGGAGGTGGATAACCTGCCATTGCTGAGTTTTCGAACCTCTAAGCTGAGCTTGGGTGCCATGGTGGGGCTCAAGGAGTTCCGAGTTCTCGCCACCGGGTTCATCCCTTCTCCTCCTTCTCTTGGATGCCTCAAGGCAGTGTCTTGGCAGATGCTATAGTAGCGCTTCAGCTCCCCATGCGTCTGACCAGGAGAGAGGGGCTGCAGGTGTGACAAAAGAGGGTCCTGGCATTTCTGGGGATAGTTTTTGTCTTCTACGTGCTCCTGAAATGGAAAGATAATTAAAACAAAACAAAACAAAAACAACAACAAAAAAAAAAAAAAAAAAAAAAAAAAAGAGGAACCCCTCCTTGTGTACAACCTGCAGGGGGCATGGTGGGACCATGGGAAGTAATGGAAATGAAATCCATATCTGACTTAACAATTGAAAAGCAGCTACCCCATACCCCACAGAACATTCCATCATCATAGCAACCCATGAGGAGGGCACTCTAGCTGTGTAGTCTGACCTTTCTGAGCTAGAATGACCAGGCTATAGCAATTAACATATTAAGTGCCATTGCTGGGATGTAGTCAGCAAAATCTGGAATGTGGGAAACCCTACAAAAGATAAATGCTTTGAGTTCTTCAATACACAAATTACAGTAACAGACACATATGAGATGTAAAGGTATGGGCCTTAGATATTTAGGATTTGATTCTTTTCTTCCCCCCCCTGCTAAGATTTATTTCTCTATGTATTTATTTATTCGTTTATTTTATGTGCACTGGTGTTTGTCTGTGCAAACACTGTGTGAGTGTGTCGGATCCCCTGGAACTGGAATTGGAGACAGTTGTGAGCTGCTATATAGGTGCTGGGAATTGAACTAGGGTTCTCTGGAAGAGAAGCCAGTGAGCTATCTCTCTAGCCCAGGGATTTGACTCTTAAGGGCATGTGTGTGTATTTGTAGGTTGGAGCATAGATGAAATAAGATTGGTCACAAATTGATAACAGATGATGCTAGCTGATGGTGACTCTGGATTTGTTTTGCCTTTTCATTTAAAAATTTTTATATTTAATTTCACTTTGTTTTAAGACTGGGTGTCATATAGCCCAGACTGGCCTTGAATTTGCCAGTTTCTCCTGCCTCCACCTCCCAAATACTTGGGTTATAGGTATGTATCACACTTTTGTTTTTGAAATTTTAAGTACCAACATTTAAAAGGGAGAAAAAAGAAAACTAAGATTTGCATCATAACTTTTCTTCTTAGTAGATGTTATTCTTTAGGAAGTTAATGAACTGTCTCTAAGTTTCAACTGTAAGATGGAAAAAACAGAACTAGGAAAAATAGAATGTGATTTTTTTTTTCTGGTATTTTTGCCTGGGGAAGGGGGTCAATATGTATGTGCTTGACATTTGAACTTTCCTTATCTGATTTTTGTTGTTGTTTTTTGTTTTTGTTTTTGTTTTGAGACCGGGTTTTTCTGTGTAGCATTGTAGGCCAGGCTGTCTTTGAACTCACAGAGATCCACCTGCCTCTGCTGGGACTAAAGGCATTCGCCACAACTACTCAATTTTGAAAGATTAGATGCTTGTGTTAATCCTGAGTAGGAAGTAGGATTCTGTAATCCCTACTACCAAAGCCATAAAAGCCAGCTATTCCTTCTTCCCCTTCCTCTCCTTTCTCCCCAGGTAAAGTAGAAGCTTTGGTACCTGAACAGAGTGCAAACAAGGGGAGATTCACATATGAAGCTTTGGGTTGGAGATTTCAGAACTGTTGGGTTTTGTTTTAATGTGATTTCTTAATTAATGTTCTAATTAATTAATTAATGAAACTTTTCTTTTTCTGGCTCTTCCTGCGCACCCATTTCACTGACATCCTATTCCTTGTGCTGTGGGTAGCTCTGGATGGCATCCTTACACTGCATCTGGAAGTCATTGACTGCAGTCATTGGATCTATCCCACTAGTCCCATGATTTCTGAATGTCATCGGATAAAACCCATTCCTAGACTTCAGTCACGCGGACTCTGGGATCTTGGCATACACCACAAATACATGAGTGGGATCAGTAAGGAATCCCATGTTGTGGTAGGAATGAAATCAAGACAAAACATCTTAGAGAAAGAGCTCTCACTCTTTTCCTTTGATCCAAGACACAGCCTACTTACCATTTGTCCCGTGGCATCTGATAGAAACCTGGCCCTTATTGAAAACTGCCGAATGGGATGCAGCCGCAGACAGGAAGACTGGGTATTTGAAGGAGAAATAACCAGTTATGGGATAATCTCTACAAACTGAACCATGTCATATGTAATTAGGTAGCATGACAGTACTTGGAAGGCACTATGTATCTTAAGCTTTAGTCACGGTCTCCCATTTCATGGGGACCAAAAATCTTTTTTCTATGCAAGTCCTAGGACTTTGAGAGTCTGGTGACACAGGTCACCAGAGATTGGGCTAGACACCCAAACTGGTTCTGTCTTTAGGACTAAAAACTCAGTTCTTTCTCTCCCCGGAAAACCCTGTCTTGATCATATTGGTCATTTTATTAATGTCTATTGCACTTTATGTTAGGCTTTTCATTTCTTTCTCTTTGTATTTGGCAACTAACCAGTCAGTTCTGAGTTTTTCATTGGTTTTTGAGTGGAGGTGAAGTTTATTTTCATGTCCAGATTCCAAGCTCCAAGGTAATGACTATTTGATATAATGGTCTTTACTCTAGTTGGTTGGAAGTGGTTACTATTCATGGCAGGGAAGACACCATATGCTGGGCAGTAATGTGAGCAAAATCTGAAGCTCAGTGGACTTAGAGATCTGTACTGAGGTTCTAGACATCCTTTGTAGAGCCTAGAAAGACCCCTCAGTGCCTTGACGTAGGGACAGACAGATCAGGTAGACAGTAGTCAGTGGATGAGTTTCAGAATTAATGGTTTGAAGAGACCAAAAAAAAAAAAAAAAAAAAAAAAATCCCTGGAAGGCACAGTGAACCACTACCCATCCCCCATCGCAGTCCAATAAAATCAAACCTGGTGGGACATCTGAAATGCTGCTGGTGGAAGGTTCTGAAGAGAAGCAGAACAATCTAGAAAGTATGCTATCAGCTTACCAAGTAAGGTGAAATCTAGGAATACCCAGTGTATCCTCAATATTGGATTTCCTACCCGTGAAGCACAGACAATGCCACCTGAGTAGAAAGTGATGTGAAATCCGTCTCCTGGGTGTCGATACTGGCACCACCCGCACGGGTGGTCATGTGACTGGAGGCTGGGGGCTGGTGTGTCTTCCTCTAGTTCCTGCCAGGCACTCGCTCACCTGCTGTGGGAACCCGGGTCTGATGCTGATGCACTGGCTGTTCTGTCTAGTGAGGACCCGTTTCCGTCTCCTTTGTCTCAGCACCATGTAGATCCTGGCGTAGACCATGACAGTCACTCCAAAGGGAACGTAGAAGGACACCACTGAAGAGTAGATGACAAAATCAGGGTTGGAGATGGAGCAGATGTTGGGGTCTCCTGTGGGTGAGAGAAGGCAAGAAAGTGGTAACGCCATTGTCCAGGGTTCCTGCTCAGTGTGGAGCTCTGAGCATGAGTTCACCTGACGTGGATGTCGTGGCAAGGAAAGGAACGCGTGGTTACAGCCTCCCATGTTGTCAGTGCTCTGGAGGCAGAAAGCTGATTCATCTTTGCACTTCATACAGTTGGTTTCAAAAGAAAATTCAGCAGTGATTATATCCCAGACACTGATGTGAGCGGAAGCCGTGAAGATGAATAAGACACAGTCTCTGCCCTTGGAGGAGCAAACAGTCTAGCTAGACAGATGATCTCTTCCATGCAAATGGTCATTTGTAACCCACAGGAATGTAGCCTGGGAGGCTAAGGAGGACCACAGAACAGGAGAGCAGAGGCTTCTGGGAGGACGACACACCTAGGAAAGAGTCTGCTGATGTGGAGGCATGAATAGATGGCTGAATGTCATGAAAGAGAAAGGCTTCTCCAGGATCCAGGGTGTGGGGTGGGCAGTGATGGAATAGAAAGCAGGAATCAGGGGATCCCAGCACTGGATAGCATGGAAAGAGCTGGGAAGGAGACTGGCAACTCAAAAGGGTTCCTATTCCCTGAGCTGTGGAGATGGCTCTGTGGTTAACAGCATTTGCTGCTTTCGCAAAGGGCTCGGGCTCATTTTCTAGCCCCTGCATGGTAGCTGGCAGCCACCTGTAACCCCAGTTCCAGGGGATACAAGTTTTCTCTCTGACCTCTGTGGGCACCAGACACACACTATGCAGACACAGACATGCTACTGATCACACATATACATAAACATAAAAATAAAGAAGTGTCTAAAACATAGAAATCTTGCCTCTAATTTATGGCCCAGAATGCCACTTCAACTTCTCTTTGGTAAGCCCTCTGGTTTTGCATTCTTCACTAGATGTGGAGACTCATTCAGTACCCAGAATCAGGCCAGAGACTCACTCCATCTTGAAATGGGGAAAGGAAGCAAGCTAACATCTGCCAGACAACAGGCCAAAGGCTTCATATACATGATCTTACCCAGTCATAATGGGAGGGGACATTGCTGTCTCTACCCTTAGATATTCAGGCTGAGTTCAGAAAGGACTACTAAGTGGCCCAAGGCAACACAACCTGAAAGATACTTTTCTCTAAGCAGCCTGACCTCAAACCAACCTTCCTTCTGTAATTTCAACTTTTTGCCTCCTTCTCCTCCCAGGACAGTGCACCTACCTCTGTCTCATCCCACATTATCAGCAACAGCTCTCGGTATGCCCGTTCCAGTCTTCACAGTGGCAGCTCAGGCCCTAATCTAGCCTTGGGATGTGAGACAGCAGAGAGGGCAGTGGCCACTTGGTTGTCTAGTTCTGCATCATGGTTTTCTGAAATGGGTTGAGGACAGACAGCCCTGGGTGTGACACATGGACCTGCTGAGGTACCCAGCTTTAGTTTCATTATCCGCAAAAGGATAAAAAGTATTTCCTGCATGCTAGCTATGAGAAATAATGAGTGAGGGTAAATGATTGCTGTGATTACTGTCATTTTTTTTTGTTTGTTTACTATGTCGTTGTTGTTTACCTCTTCTAAGTTTTTTGGACTTAAGATGGGAAGTATCCATTGATATAAAAGTTTGGAGAAAGACTCACGGAGAGCAATATTTGTGGGGAAGGGAAGAGAGAAAGTTAAGAACCAAAATGAAAAGAGAGAGTGTGTCCAGTACCCAGGGATGCATTTCAGTGACAGCACGGCCCACAATCCTTACAGGCTGCTCCCAGATCCTCTCATTTTGTTGGAGATGGGGTGAAATGGATGCCATCTCACCAGACATCTTCTGTTCTGGGGACAATGAGGTTGGGGGCAGGCATGGGCTGGCAGCTGGTGGGCCTTCTCTGTCTCTAGGGAGCCATGTAGTCATGATCAGCCCTGCCATTGAAGTCAGCTCGCCTGCTGTCACTGGCTGGCCCAGATCTCAGTGCCACCTGTGGTGAGGAGTCTCAGCATGTGTTAGTAAGCAGGGCCAGAGGACTTGCTTTCCCAAGATTTAGCTCCATGCTGCCTGCCTTGGTGAGCTGAGTGTTCCTCATTGTCCCTGTGTACAGTCTCTCTCTTTCTCTGCCCTCCTCGCTGACGTTCATAAATGAACTATTCTTGAAAATAACAGAGTCCAAAGTGGGTATAGTATGTTTCTCTGTCACACATGCACACACACGCACGCACACACACACACACACACACACACACTACACTGATGTACTTGTTACAGCAATGTCTTTCAGGAATATTAGTGTTGACTGCAGGGGAGGGATGAGGGCCTTGGCAATCCAGGGTAGGAGGCAGACTGACATAGATAGAAGTCTGTGTGTACCTCATTACACCGTATGAATGTTTAATCATGTGCAAGCATTTATTTTTCCATTAAAAACATTGCAAATATGTGTATGAAGGAAAGAGAGAATGAAGTTGGAGCCAGTAGCTATTTCAGGGTCATTGACCATGGTGGGCCTCATTTACAATCGCTGAGCTTGCTTTGCCATTCCTTCCCACTTCCTCCATTGAAGACAACTGCTGTCCACGCTCTGATCAAGATTTGCAGCCTCTTCCAGAATCCCTCCCACCGTGTTATGGGGTCTTAGGTTTGCACAGCTGGGGGGGAGACACTGGAGTCAGGGGCTGATGAGTGCTGTGGGTGGGCATCCAGTCATTAGGACAGTGGGAGGCCTCATGTAACAGAAGTCTTGAATGCTTCTCTGTTGAGTCCTCAAGAGGGGGTTTGGGCAGCTGAGGCTCCCTTGGGAGACACGGTGCCTTTGTCAGATGATTGATCTAAGTCAGCACTGTGTGGGAGTGTGGTAGTTACTGAGAAAGAAATGAAAGAAAACCAACGAAGGAAATGTACAAATGAGCATTTTGTCCAGGCACATGAGCACCCATTGGCTGTGGGAAGGCCAGATGGGCATGGGGAGTCTATCATATCATTTTCTAAACTTAGAGAGAGAAAAGGGGTGGAGCAAAGACACATGTGCTTAATGAGCTTCATGGAGGCTATTCTAGGTTCAGAGTTCCTATGCTGGGCAATGCGACACTAAAGGGGGCGTGGGAAGATGGCTCAGTGGGTAAAGCACTTGCTGTACAAGCACGCGGATGCGAATTTGGATCCCCAGCTTGCATGCACAAAGACAGGAATGCCTGTAACCCCAGTACTTGGGGTGGGAGTTGGGGGACAGAGACAGAAGAATTCCCGAGGCTTATTGTCTGGCCAGTCAAGCAAAATCAGTGAGCTCCAGATTTAGTGAGAGATCCTGTCTCAAAAAGAAACACAGAAAGACCCTGAATTAAACTTCTGCCCTTTATACACATGTACAACACACACACACACACACACACACACACACACCACACCCCACACACATACCCCACACACATACAATACACCATACACAGATCACACATCACATACACACACCACACACACACACCACACCCCACACACATACAATACACCATACACAGATCACACATCACACACACACCACACACACACACACACCCCACACATACAATACACCATACACAGATCACACATCACACACACACCACACACACACACACACCACACCCCACACACATACAATACACCATACACAGATCACACATCACACACACACCACACACACACACACACACCCCACACATACAATACACCATACACAGATCACACATCACACACACACACACACCACACACACACACACCCCACACATACAATACACCATACACAGATCACACATCACATACACACCACACACACACACACACACACACACCACACCCCACACCTCACACACATACCCCACACACATACAATACACCATACACAGATCACACATCACACACACACACCACACACACACACACACCCCACACATACAATACACCATACACAGATCACACATCACATACACACCACACACACACACACACACACACACACCACACCCCACACCTCACACACATACCCCACACACATACAATACACCATACACAGATCACACATCACACACACACACCACACACACACACACACCCCACACATACAATACACCATACACAGATCACACATCACATACACACCACACACACACACACACACACACCACCCCACACACATACCCCACACACATACAATACACCATACACAGATCACACATCACACACACACACACACACCACACACACACACACCCCACACATACAATACACCATACACAGATCACACATCACATACACACCACACACACACACACACACCACCCCACACCTCACACACATACCCCACACACATACAATACACCATACACAGATCACACATCACACACACACCACACACACACACACACACCCCACACATACAATACACCATACACAGATCACACATCATATACACACCACACACACACACACACACACACACACACACACACACACACACAAAGAAGAAAGAGGTAACAATAGCTGCAACAAGTAGGGCCTTGGATGTGTCTTGAGCTAGGCTGAGAACTTGAGCTCCATAGCGATGTGAACAGCAAGGTCAACAGAAGGTTGACTTGAAAGCCTGGTGAACTTTAGACTTGTTGAAGAACTTGACCTCACTTCAGTTCCAAAGACAGGAGATGCTGATGACTCTGATTTTAGGATGAGTCACTATCTTTCAAACAGTGTGCTTTTATTCTTTTTTAACTTTTGAGCAGCCACGTTCCTCCTGTCTCCAGTGTTCTGAAAGCTAGGTGACATTTCTATCACTAAAAATCAAATAAATAACAATTTCTTTTTTTTTTCCTAAAGGAAAATCAAGCCAGCTGTTAGCATTTGCTTAACTTTAAGTCCCCTACCCAGAAGAATTCTTAAATCTGATCACCAGCTATTGCTTATTCATTCTAGAACTCTCTTTTAAAAATCACACAATGGGTGTCTGATTTGACAGAAATTCAAATACTATTTCCCTTATCTGCGAAGTGAAAGGACCTGAGCTCGTTCAGGTGTCTTTAGGGTTGCCCTTTTGCTTGAGCATACACCTTCCTCTGCATCGTTAGGGGCTGTTGATTTGATGGTTGACTGAACTTCTAGGCTTCTGGTGGAGCTGGGGCAATACCAGTTAGCCAGGCCCTGCAGCTCTGGAACTCTCTGCCACCCAAGATCCTGTCTCCTGCTACCCCTTTTCAAAGAAAACAAGCAACGCTAAATTCAAAGTGGCTGAAGTTCAGCTTCCCCTGTGGTCTCTAGCTCAGTACTGCAAGTGCCAGGCCACAGCCTTAAATGAAAAGCCCTTGTTATGTTTCTTAAAGTTAAGCTTGCTCCAAATCCAGTGGAACTGAACACCTGAGGCCCTTTCTGCCTGTACTGGTCAGAGAAGGAGTATCAACAAAAGGTAGAGAAGAGTCATTTGTACTGGGCTTTTGGATGAACTTGTCAATGGGGGAGTTGCCAGAGGGGCCCGTGGTGGTCTGAGCCAGAATGATATCACAGGCTCTTATTTGAGTGCTTGGTCACCGGAAGTAGCACTATTTGAGAAGATTAGGAGGTGTGCCCTTGTTGGGGGAAATGCATCCCTGGGGAGTAGGCTTTGAGATTTCAAATGCCCATGGGAGGCCCAGCATCTCACTTTTCCTGTAGATTAGGACACAGCTCTTAGCTACTTCTCCAGCACCATACCTGCTTGGTGCTGCATTTCCTGCCATTAGGATAATGGACTAAATGGCTGAAATTGTAAGCCAGCCCCAATTAAATGCTTTCTTTTATAATAGCTGCCATAGTCATGGTGTCTCTCCACAGCAATAGAACACTGACCAAGGCAGGCCACATCTATCAGGATGATGAAAGTACATATGAGGGTCAGACTGTATCAGAGACCAAGGCTGGATTCTTCATGCCTGAGCTCTGCTCATGAATTCCCTGAACCGTGTGCTAGGAAGGGACAGCTAGGCTTCCCTATGACCACCCAGGAAACATCACTCTTTATATCTCCCTTGGAGCAGATGTTTAGTTGCCTTGTTTCTGTGCATGGGACTCTTGTGGGGGGAACTGTGTACTACTGCTTGACCAAGGCACTGCTTATCTGCTGGTCTCCAGCACATTTCACCATTTGCTGGGACGAGCCTGGTTCCCCTCCATATTCTGGGATGCTGGTGGAGGAGGTCCTACTCCCTCTCACAGACACTCACACATCCTGAGAATAGCTGAAACCATCTCCAGATCTGACAGATCTGTCACATAATCATGACAATGACACCAGCTAATACCTACTGGGTCCTTATAATGGACCGTGCATTTGACACAATATGAGAACAAGCTGAGGGGTCAGGACAGTGTTGCTAAGAAACTTAAACATAAGAGAAAGCCTGGCTTGGTGGCAGAAGCATATAATCTCAGCTCCTCTGGAGGCTAAGGCAGATGGATTATAAATTCAAGGCTTTCCCGGGCAACTTAGTAAGCTGCTGTCTCAGAAACAAAGATAAACAACATGACCTCCAAATGTAAAACAAACCAATCTTCAAGCACATAGAAACATAAAACACAAAGAGAGAAACCAAAAGAAGCAGTAGGGTCTTCTACTACTACACACACGCTAGGTCACAAGTCTTCTTTTGTTTCTCAATTTGAAAATCCTGCGATGATTTTCCTGGGCTTTGTTTCTAGAACAATAATGATGTCACCAGTGCCAACATGCTGCAATTAGTTCATCATTCTTCACTCACGATGTTGACATTAGCTGGGAACTCTGTCTACTGTCAGATCTGGAGATGGCTTCAGCTATTCTCAGGATGTGTGAGTGTCTGTGAGAGGGAGTAGGACCTCCTCCACCAGCATCCCAGAATATGGAGGGGAACCAGGCTCATCCCAGCAAATGGTGAAATGTGCTGGAGACCAGCAGATAAGCAGTGCCTTGGTCAAGCAGTAGTACACAGTTCCCCCCCACAAGAGTCCCATGCACAGAAACAAGGTAATGTGGTGCCATAGCTATCTGACTATCCCATAGGGCACATTAAACACTGACCACAAAAGGTATTTTACTTTCACATCATTGCCATAGCTATTTCAATGGACAATGCTTTGCTGTGTGTACATGTACATGTGCTCCTGGGTATAAAGTGCCATTCAGTTGGAAACAAAGCAAAAAGCAAACAAACAGAACAAGAGTAGTAAGTATAGAAGAATAAGTTGGTAATGGACTGTCTTAGTTAGGGTTTCTATTGTTGTGAAGATACACCATGACCACAGTAACTCTTATAAGAAAAACATTAATTGAGGTGGCTGGCTTACAGTTCAGAGGTTCAGTCCATTATCATCATGGTGAGAGGGACACGCTAGTATGCAGACAAACATGGTGCTGGAAAAGTAGCAGAGAGTCCCACATCTTCCAGGCAACCAGAAATGGTCTGAGGGTTACACTGAGCAAAGCTTGAGTAAAAGAAACCTCAAAACCTACCCCCACAGTGACACACTTCCTCCAACATGGCCACAACTACTTCAACAAAGCCACACCCCCTAATAATGCCACTCCTTTATGAGATTATGGGGGCCATTACATCAAACATTATGAACATTTTGGGTTAACCAGGAAAGCATTTGTTGATAACTTGGTTTCTTAACTTTTAATGTATCAGAGAAACAAGACTGACCCTGAGAAGATAGTATGTGCTCGACACATCTATTCATATTGTCCCAATTTGAGGCCTTTATAGAGGAGTTACATAATTTGTAGGGTAAGAGAAGTATCTGTGGACTGGAGAGATGGTTCAGCTCTTTCAGAGGACTCGGATTCCTTTCCCACGGCCCACATGGGGCTCATAACTGTCTTAAACCGCAGTTCCAAGGTGTCCTGTGCCCTCTTCTAGCTTTTGTGGGTATCAGTCACATACATGGTTCAAAGACCAGACATATATACAGGCAAAACACTCATGTGCATAAAATTAAAAAATTATTTACTAAAAGTAATCAAGTCTAGATTTCTTTCTTATGTTGTCCATTTGAATTACTTCATTGCTCTAAATTTTGCTTTGAAAAAAAAATCCCCTACACCACATATAAAGATACATAAGATACATGCAGTTTTGTTATAACTCTGAACAGTAAGAAGAAGATTATATATATATATATACATATATATATATCATGTATTATAAAGCTCACATGAACATGTAGCTTCAGAGATGACATCATTGAACTTTTTTTTATGTAGAATGCCATTTATAAAAATAAATATTGAAAACTTTGTAACTAGATATGTGGACTGAATATACATTTGAAGCTGTTCCTTTAGGAACCACTATGTTACTGTCTTAAATTCATCAGTGTGGAAGTTGAGCTCAGAAGAGTCCAATAGCTGTTCAAGGAAGGCTGCTGGTAAATAGGACAGCTGGGGTTCACCTAGAGCTTTCTGATTCTAGAGCCGCTGTCTACCTTCCTCAATGTGCTCTGACTACTAAAATTGTTGTCCATGACACGATGACTGGAAGGCTGTTTATAGGTTGGAATTTTCCTGGATTTACATATAACAATGTCTCAACAATATTCGCATGTACATAAAACATATGGCTTTGTGACTAGATCAGGAATTCACAAATCTGGAATCTAGTAGGAACTGAATAAGCCAATCCAGATGGACAAGATAAGAAAGAGTTCTATATGATTACAGAGCACTATTCATTCAAGTTTTTTTTCTTACCAAGTATGCTCATTCATTATACATTTTCCTTTAAAGTTTGTAAAAATTATTTTTTTAAATTTTGAGATCATAATTATAAAAACTTCCCCTTCCCTTTTCTCTCATTGTACATTTCTTTTAGAATGTTTGTTTATTTCTCAGATTAAATTATACCATTTCTCCCTTTCCTTTACTCTCATCATACATTTTTAATGGTTTTTGTTCAACATATAGATTCCTGAGCCCAAAAGAAAGATCATGGGAAATGCAAATGTACATTGATGTCTTATGGTTAAAATCCAAATCATCACAGATTCAGATATTATCATCTATCTATCCATCCATCCATCTGTCCATCTGTCCATCTGTCTGACTGTCCTTCTGTCCATCCAGAAGTTGAGCCATCTGCCAACTTCATAGCCACAAATTTTCATATTAAAAATAAAAATATGTATTCAGAACCAGTTCTCAAATGTTAGAAATGGTTCTTACTGGAGAAAAAGTTAGAAATATATAACTTATTCCAGGCTTTTATGATATGTTACTTTGCATTGTAGATTGGTTCTGAATAGTTATCTTTTCATTAGCAAATCCCACTTGAATTATTAATATAGCTTTGTGTTTTATTTACATTTATATTACATATCTTCCAGTGAACACAATGACATTTCTTTCAAAATAGGAATGAGGCAGAGTTTTCATGAGCTAGGTCAAACTAGATGTTTGTGACAGTAACTGGTGAGGTTCTGCTGTACACTTACTTTATACCTGACAAAGGCCAACACACTGTGTCTACAGCATACCCATTTGACCACACTGAATAGGGATGGAGATACTGGCGGGGGGTGGGGTAGGGGGATACCACTCACAGCCACTCAGGTATGAACCTTATAGTTTTACCTGTTGTGTTGAAACCAAAGAGGAGAGGGCAGGACACAGCAAAGGCCAGCACCCACACGGCTGTAATCATGAGAGCCACACGACGACAGGAGCTCTGCCCAGTTCCATGCTGATAATGGACTGGCATGACCACTGCTGTGTACCTGAAATAGAGTAAGGACACAAGAGAGGCATGATGGGAACACCAGTTGAAAGAGGTTACAAGAGGATGACTCACTGAAGCCTTTGACAAGAGCAAAGTTATTTAGTTGAAGAGAGTTAAGAAAATAATAGAAATGTTTGATCCCAGTAGAGGAAGCAGAAACAATGTAAGTAAGAGCTGGATGATGGGAAGGAGTGCTGTGGCATGCCATGTGGACATGACATGGACATGGCATTCATTAATTTACTACAGCGATGGTTACCTGCACAGACCTGCTTAAGATCAAGCCAACAAATATGTCAACACTCCATCAAGGAGCACTGGATTCAGGGGGTTACAAAGTTGGGAGAGAGGAGACAGGACAGGGGACATGGCAGAGGGGAGATAGATATATATATAGACAGATGATAGATAAACGGATAGATAAGGTAAATAGATAATAGATAAATAAATGATAGATAGAAAACTCAGCGAGTTACAAAGAAAGGAGAGAGAAAAGGAGGAAAAAGACATCATGAAAGGACATGGGGTGTAGGAGGCATGAGTTGAGGGTGGGTGTGATCAAGATACAATGCATTCATGTATGCAATTGTCAAAGAATAAGTAAAAACTTTAAATAAGGAAAAATGTTGTTTGAGTGAAAATAGCAGAAAAGTTAAGAGAGCTGAAGAACTCATTTGAGGATCCACAGAGAAAGGGACAAGGACTGGAGTTAACAGAGCAGTCCTGAGCTGTGGACAGGCTTCTTCTTGATGTCTAGCACAACCCATAACCCGCCTTCTACTCACAGGACCTGCACTCTAAAGACGCTGGGTCTATGTACCTTCATGTTCTCCCACAGTTTTCCAGACAATAGTATTGGCCTTTGACCTTTCCATATCGCTTGCTTAGTCCCCCATTGCACTTTTCATTCAGTATTTATCCAGTCCCTGCTGCATGTTACATATAATATACAGGTTTCTATATGTCAGGCCCCATTCTGGATGGATAGAGACCCATGAAGACGGCACTGACTCTATCTTCATTGAGCTTAGAGTTCAGAGAAGAGGATGAACAACACAAATGCAAACAAACACCTTGACTAACACAAAGTGAAAAATACCATTAAAGGGATGTGTTGGGGCATGTGATGGAGAATAGCTGGAGAGGTAAGTCGGGGGAAACCCACACAAGTGTGAGGTCTCAGAGGGACTCGGCTGTTGTAGGTAGAAAAGTAATAGATGCTATAAACTATCCACTGTGATCATTTCTCTGCTTAGTCTAATCCATTTTGTGATCTGCTCTCTAGGTGGACTTCTGCTACCAGGTTGCTTACCCCAATTTCATGATGTCTTCTCTACCTTCATAGCTAAAAACCCTGAGACAGAAGAACTCCAGGATTTCTGTCATGTCTAATCCCTGCCCATTGCATATGGGATAGACCTGTGGGTATAAGGTAACATTATTCCATGATTAGACTACTAATCAGTAGACTCTGTATTAATCAAAAGGGAAATAGTTCTGGGCAAGCATGACCTACTCAGGTGAACCTTAATAGAGACTGAGTTGTTCCTTAAACTCAAAGAGCTTCAAAGTATGAGAAATTATCCTGCCTCGAAGATCAAACTGCCTTCTTTGGTTCTTTGGCAGGGAATGGTAAAAGGCTTATAGAAGCCCTGGCTGACATCCCACAAGATAGTAAGAACCACTCTGCTACAGTTGTAAGAAACTGAGTCCTACTGCCAGCTTGAATATGCCAGGAGGATGATTCACAGCCCCGCCCACAACTTGGGTTCTGTCTTGTAAACCTTGACTGCTTATGAAGTGTTCCAACTTACAGAATTTGTGAGGCTAAAGTGGTTGTGGTTTATATTTCTAAACTTGTGATAATTTGTTCTACCACAGCAGAAAATGAATATACTGTCTCTGGCTCCTCTTGTATACATAAGCTAAACTGATTTTCTTCAGTGTGAGCTTGACTTCCTCCACGAACACGATTTTCTATTGGTTCCTGGCATGAACTCATGGCTCCAGCCAAACTGGCCTGGTGGTGGATATTTTCCCACAGCCTTTGTATAGTCCATCATTCTTCCTCTTCCCTTGCCTTCCAAGCATCTCAGCTGAGCTCTTAAGGAACTTCTCTGGGCCTCTCCAGCTAGACACTTGTAACTTTGAAGTTATAGTGAGTGCACCTATGCCAACCAATGGCAATGACATCCTGAGTGTAGGTGTCTTGACTCATCATTACGCTTGTCTCATCTCTGGAAAGAGATGGCCACTTGGTTTAAGTTACTGAACAGCCCAGAACATCTTATAGCTTATATTCCCCATAGACACATGCACAAAGCCAGTAAGAAGCTATTGTCTGTCTCAGTGGCCCTGAGAGGGTTCCTTCCTCTTAAAAGAATGATTTAATCCTAGCTAGGCTCATGGGATTTTAGATATGGGTCTCAATTTAGATCAATAATTTTTATCTTTTCAGTTTTCTGGGGAATACTGATGCCAGATTTAGGGCAGGAGTCTCCTTAATCTGTCTTGTGCATCTGAAAGCTTGGGCTGAGGAAGAGCGAGATTAATGCTGGGTGAGAAGGGACTGGGCAATGGTCCCTGTGTGTCCATCTCCTGTGCTCCAGCTCTGCCTCTTATGTAACTAGCGTTTGAGAGGTAACGTTTGTGTTCCTGACAGAACAGTGTAGAGAGTACTGTTTTGAGATGAAAGCTAACTCTGACTTTGGTCCATAACACATCAGTGACAAAGGTAGCTTCCTTCTGAAGAGGGAGAAAGAGAGCTCTTGATTTTGTAAAGTCCTGTTAAAAGTCCCTGTTAATCCCAAGGGAGGCCATGGCAGTCCTATTCCTCTCTTCTGGAATACACATGACAAGCCTCTCTTGAGCTCCTGCCTGAGCTCTGCATGAACACAAGGAACACAGCACATTTCACCTGGTGGTCCCTCCGGCTTCTCAGGCTGGGGATTTCTTTTCTTCTGGGGCTCCAAGTCAAATGTGGTCACTAGGGCCTTGCTTCGTTGGTGATCCTTGGAGGAGGGGCTGAGTCTTAAACCCTGCTATTGTCATGGACAAACAGCCAATCGAGGAGTGGAAATATATGACCATTCTCTTTGGCTCAGACTTGCAGCCCTCCTTTTTTTTTTTTTTTTTTTTTTTTTTTTTTTTACTTTGTAAATTTTATCATTAAAAATGCAAATAAAAAGATCACACACTAAAATTAGCCAGCCAAAATCCTTAGATGTAAAAGAACCCAACCATGCTGTATATTTGGTGATATGCTAACAAACAACTAACAGCTCTCTCTCTCTCCCTCTCTCTCTCTCCACACACACACACACACACACACACACACACACACACACACACAGCTCTAATTTGTAACATTCATCCACTTCTGTGATGCTTATAATCCCATCACTGCTCCTGTCAAGCCACCACCAAAGGTTCGATAACCAACTCGAAAAATTCCTAGGATCCTGCCAATCAGCTCACACGGGCATGGTTCTAGCACACCAGTGGGAGCTGCATGCTGTCTCAATCTTTCTGTAATGCTCATCAGCCATGGGGGCTCCATTATTTCAGTGAGCAAGAGATATACAGAGCATGCTCTGTTCATAAGAGAGGGGCCGTAGCTTCAGCGAACTCAGGGTGGACCCAAAATTTTGCAATGGAGTGGTCCTTGGCCAGCCCGATACCCTATCTCCCGGGCCAGTGTCTTTAACAAAGTCCTGTTCTCTCTCCAGGGCACATGTAGCTCTCTTAGTCCTGCAGGAAAGCAAGGGTTTGGGGTATGAAAGTCAGAGTGGCCCAGTGGTTCGTGCTTGGAGACCAGTGTGGATGCCTAGAAACTGAATTTCTCCCAAGTAGTTTGATTCTGCTAATTTTCAGTGTATTGGGGTGTGGAAAATGGGAGGGTTTGGGGGAGCATGTATGGGGGAGGGTGTGCTGTTAAAATGCACATTCCCAGGCTATGTCCCTAGTGGTTTCACTGAGGTACTTCTAAAGTACAACCCAGAAACGTGTATTTTTAACATCTTATTAGACGACTCTGCATTAGGGTGGATTCTGTCAAAGCTTCTTGTTCACTTGGGTAAGAAATGAGAGACAAGACTACAGTCTTCCACTGTCACATTACACCTTCCCCTTCCTTTTAAACGATCAAGCCGTTAGAATAAATGAGACCCCCCCCAGCATGTCATAGGTGGGTGGCTAAGAGCTTGAGGTTGTTCCAGAATCCACCATTGGAGGGCACCAAAATGCAGCAAGAACTTCGCCAGCTCCGCCGGGGTGAGAAGTTCACAGCTCACCTGGGGGCTCTCCAGGCTCTGTGGGGAGGCAGAGCGGGAAAACCTCCCCCACTTCATTCCCGGAGCCCCGCGAGGTCCTCGCATTCCCACCCAGGGAGACTGTTTAGCCTCTGGTTTTCTCTTAGAGCGATTCTTGAAGGCCAACCACAGGCAAGCAGAGGCCAAAGCCCTGGGAAAGGCATGGAAAAAGAAGCCTGACCAGGGCCTCCTCCCTCTGGGGTATTTCCCTGTCACAGTCCCTCCTTTGTGTTTCAGCATCTACCTCTCTGGGCCCTTTTTCGTGGAACACTCAGTTGACCCAAATGCAGACAGTGTACACCGCGGTAAAGCCTGAGGCTGTCTGATACCTAGCTCTGCAGCTTGACAGTGGTCCGGAGGCCCGAGTGGTCCGGCTCAGTTTTCTCATTCGCACAGGAGGGTTAACCTGCCCAACAGGACTATCCACAGCTGTTGATTACATTTGCGAAGTTTTTTGTTTTTTGTACAATTTAAAATTTTGAAAGGCGGTTCTTATTGTTCGTATTGTTATTGCCACCATTATTATACTAGCCTAAGAGATTCGCGATTGTTTACGTCTGTGTGATTTTAGGTTTTAGGATTGTCATTCTCTTTCTCCTCCTTGTCAGGCAGGGCATAGTAAATTTGTTTCTCTATCAGACAAGTTGTGAGCACTTTCTTGTGTGGGCCACGGCTGAAGTGCTGGGGA